AATACTCCTAAATCTTAGGAATTTGACTAATAATAAAATCTTTTTTCTCTCGTATCTATTTATATTCATATATAGGTTAAGAGTTTGACTAACATTAAAAATAAAAAAAAATTATCATTTAGACACAAAAAATAATACATTTAAACACAAAAAAAAAAAATTTAACATAAAAAAAAATTGAAACATTCAATATTAATATTTTTAAAAAATAACAATAATAACATATTCAACAAAAATATTAACATGTTCAACAAAAATAGTAACATGCTTAACAAAAACTGTAACATACTTAATAATAATTATTTCTCTCAAATTCAAACGCAAAAAATAGTACCATTCAAATACTAAAAATATTAATATTTAAAAAAAAATAGTAACATCGAATAGTAATATTTAGGAAAATAATAATAGTAACATGTTCAACAAAAATAATAACATACTCAAAAATAATAGTACATGAACAGTAACATACTTAACAAAGCAGTAACATGAATAGTAAGATATAAAAAAAATAGTAACATGAATTTTAATTTTACTATTCAAATTTATAGTAACTTTTTTTTTGTATTTGAATGTTACAATATATATATATATATATAAGAGAAAGGAATAATTTTAATGTAAATTAAACCCTTAACCTATATATGGATATAGATAGATATGAGAGATAAAAGATTAACATATAATTTTAAACATGGACTTAGCTCCTTATAAGTTTTCTTGCAGAATTTATCTCCAAATAAGTACATCTAGGAGGACTCACTTCCAATTTTCACATATTTTTATTTGAAAATTGGAAGTGAGTCTCCCTAAATGTACTTGTTTGAAGATAAGTCCTGTAAAAAAACTTATAAGAGGCTAAATTCATGTTTAAAATTAAATGTAATGACTTAAGTTCACTTTTTTTTTATCTCAAAAATACTTTTAATTGAAAGGAAGTTAATATTTTCTCTCTCATATCTATCTATATCCATATATAGATTAAGAGTTTGACTAACATTAAAATTTTTCCTATCTCTTATCTATCTATATCCATATATAGGTTAGGTGTATATATATAGTAACATTAAATAAAAATAGTAATATTTAAATACCAAAAAAATTACTATGTATTTGAATAATAAAATTCAAATTTATGTTACTATTTTTTTTATTATATTACTGTTCATGTTACTGCTTTTATTGAATATGTTATTGTTCATGTACTATTATTTTTAAACATGTTACTGTTTTTGTTGAAAATGTTACTACTATTTTTTTTTTGAATATTACTATTTTTTGTATTTGGATGGTACTATTTTTTGCATTTGAATTTGAGAGAAATAATTATTGTTAAGTATGTTACAGTTTTTGTTAAGTATGTTATTATTTTTGTTGAACATGTTACTGTTGTTATTTTTTAAAAATATTAATATTGAATGTTTCAAATTTTTTTATGTTTAAATGTGACTATTTTTGTGTGTTTAAATGTATTATTTTTTGTGTCCAAATGATAATTTTTGTTTGTATTTGATTGTTACTATTTTTTATTTTTAATGTTATATATATATATAAGAGAAAAAAAAAATTTAATGTTAGTCAAACTCTTAACCTATATATGAATATAGATAGATATGAGATATAAAAGATTTTAATGTTAGTCAAACTCCTAAGATTTAGGAGTTTTTAATTTTTAGTTTTATTTTACTTCTAAAGGGAAGGGATAGTATGGTAAAATTGACAAAAAACGGACGTCGTAACAAATAAGTTTCCTTAACGGACTTAAGTCAAAACAAGTCCATATAGGGATACCGGCTTCCAAATTTCCCTAAAAATATCTAAAGTCCAAAATAAAAATTTTTTAAAGATGCAAGCCTTAACTATTAAAAGAAATATAAAATCAAAAACATTAGACCTTATGGACAAAAAGGGGCACAAATAATTAATTTTTATTTATTTTAACTGTGTTATGTTTTAGAGGATCATGAAGCACTTTCAAATCTTTAAAATCGTCTATTTTATACTTAACTAATTTAATGTTAAATTTCTCTGTAGTTCATCCTTAATTTTGAGAAATTAATTTCTTTAAAAGGGAAAAAAAATTTGGTACATTTTACATAATTATATACTTGACCTTTACTGTGTTTTTTTGGTAATTTAGTGGCATGTAAACTAGACTGGATAATATGGCAGTAAGCCCCTATTTATTGAAAATATCTAGCCATATACAAATATTTTAAAAATTAATGGGGTAATGTATCACTATACACATGTTGTGAACTTCTAACATATACATGCTATGGTTGTGGCTTTGGCCTGGCGAGGCTGTGGTAGAAAGAGAGAATGGCCTGACCTCCTAAAAATTAAGTTTTCGTATAAAATCTTAACACAGTTTAAAAAGTTTAATCTGACTAAAAAATCATGTAAAATTATATATATATATTATTTTTTATGTTAAAAATAAAATGGTTAAACATTTTGATGAAATAAAAATATACATATGTAGTAATATAATTAGTCCAAAATTTTCATAAAATTTACATTTATACATATGAAATATCTATACTACTAATAAAACTTATAATGATGCATATATTTTTTAAGAGTAATATAATCAATCAAAAAATTTCATAAAAATTAACATTTATACATAAGGAATATATAATTAAAAGTGATCTTAAATGAAATTTACAAATTTAAATGCATATGAATATGATTGTAATTTAGATATTAAGGGTGGAAGGATAGACTAACCTTTTTAATTTTTTATGAGGGTAAAATAGTTAATCAAAAATTGTTTATATTAAGGTACTTTTATTAGTAGTATATAAATATAGATAGATAAGTTGATAATTATTTTTTTTAGTTGAATTATCTCAATTAATCCCTTCGTCAATTTAATTAAAAATATATCATCTCAACCACAATTAAAATATTAAAAATAGACTATTCAAGTCCAAATTAGAGTATTATTTTTTTTTATTTTTTTTTTGATCATTTATAAAATAGACTTACAAAAATATACATACAATAAAAAAATAAGCAACAGGAACTAACCGATGCCCACACGAACATCCTGCTGGATTTGTTGCAGCACGTGAAAAGGAGGATTCAAATTAGAGTATTATTACTGTCCATAATTAACTCAAAGCAAGCATTTTGGTGGAAGGCCGCAGTGAAAAAAGGCGACGACAAACCTGCGAACAAAAGCTGGCACAGCCAAGAAACCGACCGGTGCCAGCCGGCAGGAGCCGACTTGTCGAACTGTCCGGCAGTGATAACGACGTCTAACCGTTTACGCTTTGACACGTGGAAATAGATGAAATGAGTTTAAAAATAAAATAAATTATGAAATAAAATTAACTTTTGAGAATGGAATAAAATACGCGTTATCATTTCAATGTTTGACAGTCGTTTAACATTATTTCATTCCTATTTTTGGATAACATAATTTTTTTATTAGAATGGAATCAACTTTAAACCAAAACATCCATGGTGACTAAAAATAATTAATAATAAATTTTTTTTATGATTGCGATTGTATTTAAAAGTTGTGTAAAAAAAATTATAATTAGAAAAAATGAGAATTCATTGAAAAAAAATTTAAATAGAATGAAATTTAAACAAAATAATTTTTTTTACCTATAAAATTTCAACTTAATCATACATTCTTCCTTACAATAAGCATACCTATTAATTTAAAACCTTGACAAACAAAATAAAAATATATAATCCCCACAATCCTATTTTAGTTCATTGGCAAAAATATCAAGAAAAATATTTTCCCAAGAAAAAATAATTTACTTAGTTTAAGGCTATCTTTTATGAAGAAATATTTCTTTAGAAATAACGATATTTTTTTTCAAAGATAGATTTTTATTTATTAAATCACCTAAACATTCAATAGAACGCACAATATATAAAATCATACCAAAAAAACAAAATACCTAAAAAAAATCACAAATTTATTCCACTCTAAATTTTAATATATATAAATTAAACTTTCGTACATGGAATCAACAGAAATAATTTGATTTACATAAACATCCATAATAATAAAAATAAAACCTATTGTGCCACTAGCTTTGTTAGTTATAGTTATCATCCAATTTAAAAGAATTATATTCGATCTACATTCCCAAAAATAATACTGAATCATATACTAGTCCCAAAAAATAATATTTTTCTACGATCATACATCTACATTTCTCTCAAAATCATTCAAAACTCCATATTGGCCGTCATATGCAGCCATCATAAATACCTTGGTTGCACATGCTGCTTAAGGAACAACCCCTCCATCTATCACACCGGTGCAAGGGACACATATCCACAACCACGAAGCCAATGTGATCTTCTATAGACATCCCACCACTGAACAGGTTCAACTTTCTTTCTTTCCCTTTTTTTTTTTTTTAACAAACGAAAATTTTTATTTATTCACAAAAGCTGTAATTACAAGAAGCAAATAAAAGGAAAAAACATAATGTTTTCCTAATTACAACAACAACTAAACAAGAAACAAAAGAACCAAAAAAAAACCAGTTGGCAGCACAATAGCAGAAGCTCCACCTTTTTCTATTCTTCCAGCAAAAGTCAGCAGACAGCCTTCCAGACAAGCCTTGCACAACACCCTGCTAAACTTCCAGAAGCCATTCAACTCTGCCATAAGCAAAAAAAAAAGACAACCACCATCCCTACACACCCAAATAAAACAGCAACCTTAACCCTTATCATCATACACCAAAATTCTCTAAACACATGCCTTATAATCACGATAAACCTTTTTAAAAAAAGGCGAGAAATAGATGCTTATTGAACTGATGACATTGTGTATGTACAGACAGGAGGGCTAGTTAAACGAAGAAATTGGGACTAACCATTGATACCCCAAAATGACTGGGACCAATGCAAAACAGCACTCTGTATAGACAAGGTAGGACGTGACTGTACAAGGGTAACAAAACACATGTACAATAATTCTTCTGTGTTCAGTTGTTAGGTGGAAACCAGCATCAAGCATGACTATTAAAGCCAAACTCACAGATTCACAAGGTGAGACTGATCATCAAAATGAAAGCAGTCTGCTTCAAGCTAGAAAAATATTTACCAGCGCCAAATCAAATACTGGTTTTGGAGTGTATGATTTGTTGGATTTGATTAACACCAGCTCTTGACTGGATTGTCTTATGCTGCTGTGCTTCTCTGTTATGCATTTTTGAAAATTTTGTCCAGGATAATTTTGTTCACAACATTAATAAAAAAATGATCCATAAAATATCCTCTATAAAACAACCCTTTCTCATTTAGGATTATCATCGAACAGGTTTAAGACATAATCCCAACTGATTTAACTTGTTCGCCCAATAGATTTCCAACCCAATTCAATCGTATAAGCATGCAAACTAATTCAACTGAATATGCACAACAATTACTCATTGATCAAGACAATAGAAGAACATACAAATTCCATCAGAACATCAAAAACTTTGCCCAAACCCCAACAAACATGCAATTGTTGACTAACGTAAGTGAGGAATTACCTGAGATTGGTGGCGCTGCGGTTTTGTTGTCAAACATTTTGTCAGACAGGTGGAGAGCAAAGTACAAACTTGTTCATATTGTGAGAACCCAAAAAGAAGCTGATGATAAGGCCTTCCAGTGCGGGTATCAGGAGCAAGATGACAATGGAAAAATCGGAGTTTCTCTCTCCAAGGATCTGATGGCGATCGCCGGTGGTGCTCTGAGGACTAATATCATAACAATGGATCCTCTAGTTCTTCCAATCAGTGAACAACTCATTTTCTTTGCCACCCTTGTTACAAGAAAACTGTTTGATTCGAAAATCAATCCTTATATCCCAGATTTCAAGCTAGCTTTTGATCATTTCTGCATCCACGCCGGTGGGAGAGCTGTGATTGATGAACTGGAGAAGAATTTGCAGCTCCTCCCACTTCATGTCGAGGCTTGTCGGATGACTCTGCATCGATTTGGGAACACAAGCTCGAGCTCGGTTTGGTACAAATTGGCCTACGCCGAGGCGAAAGGGAGGATGAGAAAGGGTAATAGTGTTAGCAAAATAGGATTTCACCAAATTAAAAGACACTGTCCTTAATAAAATTATGTCTCATTATATTGCTACTGGATTTATGACAGATTCCTCTAGAATTAACAAAGTAAATAGAATTTCAGATAACAAACTTTAAAATTCTCTCAAGAATTATAATACCTTAGTGAGGAGACACAACTCTTGGATCAAAAGAGATGTATAGATGAGACACAACTCTTGGGCCAAAATACATTTAGCAATTAATTAATACAAAATTAATTAATTATTTAAAGGTTTCAAGCCCAAGTGTCCATCTTTTGACTTTAAAGATTATTTTATTTAAAGTCTAATCAAGGTCCATTGATTTGAAATATTTGAAACTTTTCTCCAAATCTTCCCACTATCCAAATTTATAAAAGTTGGTGTGTTTTTCCTTTTAATCCCTTACATTCTCTTTCAACTTTTCCAATGTGGGATTCTTTATATTACTAACTATCTCTAACAATCCCCCATTTAGATAGTAATGTAAATAATCAAAATTAGTTAAAGTCTATGCATAGGCATTGGTTGTGGCCACAATTTTATATCCAACAATAAATTTCTCAGCCATTTCGCCTCTTTTCCTGCCGCTGCCAATGCAATAAATTCAGATTTCATTGTGGAATGAGTAATACACGTCTGTTTCTTAGAAGCCCATGATATAGCTCCTCCACCTAAAGTGAAAATTCAACCAGACGTTGATTTGTTCTCATTAATACTAGTTATCCAACTAGCATTAGTATAGCCTTCTAGTACCGTAGGAAATTTGTTATAAAACAAGGTAAATGACTTTGTCCTTTTAAGATAACCGAAAACTCTTCCAGTAGTCCTCCAATGTTCGGTACTAGGATTACTTGTATATCTTGAAAGTTTGCATACAGAAAAAGCAATATCAAGTCTAGTACAATGCATAGCATACATTAAACTACCAATTACACTTGCATAGTCTAATTGACTAATGGATCTACCCGAATTTTCTATCAATTTGTTAGAAACATCAAATGGGATATTAGCTTCTTTAATTCCCAAGTGGTTAAACTTGGAGAGAATCTTATCAATGTAATGAGATTGGCACAAAGTAAAACTCTCACTATGTTTCTTAACTTTAATTCCTAAGATTGTATCGAATTCTCCCAAATCTTTCATTTTAAATTAAGAAGTCAAGTATCTCTTAGTATCATTTACTCCTTTCAAATTGGTTCCTATGATTAACATGTCATCAACATAGAGACAAACTATTACACCATAGTCTTTAGTAAACTTGGAGTAAACGCATCTATCTACTCCATTATGATTAAAACCATGAGATATTATGACACTATCAAATTTCTAATGCCACTGTTTAGGAGCTTGTTTTAATCCATACAAGGATTTCACCAATTTCTAAACTTTATTTTCATTACCAAGAAGTACAAATCTTTCAGGTTGTTCCATATATACTTCCTCATCAAGATCACCATTTAAGAATGTTATTTTAACATCCATTTGATGGATGTATAAATCATATATTGATGCTAAAGCAAACAACAGTCTTATTGAAGTAATTCTTGCCACCGGAGCATATGTGTCAAAATAATTAACTCCTTCTTTTTGTCTAAAATCTTTTGCCACTAGTCTTGCTTTGAAGGTTTGTAAAGAACCATTAGTATTATATTTTCTCCTAAACACTCATTTACATCCGATTGGTTTGCAACTAGGTGGTAAGTCAATCAATACCCATGTTCCATTTGATAGAGGTGAATCTATTTCATCATTTATTGCTTCCTTCCAAAAACTGGAATCTCTTGATGCCATTGCATCACTATAAGTTTTAGGATCTTCTTCCAAATGCATAACAATGGGTATTTTATTTATAATCTCATCTCTACTTCCTTCAACTAAGAAGACTATTGCTTGTAAAGAAATAAAATCAGAATTGAAGTTCTTCTCTTTTCTTACCCTTTGACTTCTCCTTGGTTCACTGGGAGATTCAACTCGTTTCCGTTTATTATTTAAAGAATTTTGATCCAAATTAATGTCTTATGTAATTAGAGGTTCAACATTTTCTCTATTCGATTGTTGATTGACATTTGAATTTCCAAAAAAATTGTTTCTAAAAATTCAACGTCTCTAGACTCTATGATAGCATTCGAGTCTATGTTCAACAATCTATATGCTTTTGAATTTTCAGCCTAACCCACAAAAAACACTCTTGAGAGATCTAGGTCCTAATTTGGTTCTTTTAGGATCTGGAACTCTATAATAGGCTATACAACCCCATACTCTCAAATAGCTTAAGTTTGGTCTTCTTCCTTTTCCATATTTCATATGGAGAAGTTTTTGTTTTCTTTGAGGATATTCTATTGTGCACATGGCAAGCTGTTAATAGAGCTTTTTCCCATAGATTTGTTGGTAGTTTAGCATGTATAAGCATAGCATTAATCATATCTACCAATGTTCTATTCTTTCTTTCAGCCAAACTATTTTGTTGTGGAGTATAAGGTGCACTCATTTGATGAATCAAACCATTTTCTTCACAAAAAACAGTAAATTCAATTGAAAAATATTCACCACCTCGATTACTTTGTAGGATTTTAATTTTCTTTTCCAATTGATTTTCAACCAAGGTTTTATAACATTTAAACATATCAAATGCTTGATCTTTAGTTCTCATTAAATAAACATGAGTGAACCTAGAATGATCATCAATGAAAGTAATAAAATATCTATTTCCTCCTCTAGTTAAATGACCATTTAATTCACATATATCAGAATGCACAAGTTCAAGTGTTTTAGTTGTTCTTTCATTCTTTGGAAAAGGTTTCTTAGTCATTTTTGTTTGTATGCATATTTCACATTTTTCAAAATTTTCATTTGTACATGAAATTAAACTATGTCTAGACATATACTTAATTGATCCATAATTAACATGTGATAAACGAGCATGCCATAAATTAAAAGGAGATTTAAGAATATAAACAGAAACATCAACTTTATTAATGCTCAACTTAAACATGTCATCACATGAATACCCTTGTCCAACAAAGACACCATTCTTAGAAAATATAATTTTTTCTGCCTCTAAGACAACCTTCAAGCCCTTCTTGCACAACAAACTTGCAAATATCAGATTCTTTCTCACATCAGGAACGTGAAAATACATTCATTAAGATCAATTTCTTTCCAGAGGTAAACTGCAGTTCAACAATCTCTTTATCATGCACCTTGGCAGTATCATGATTCCCCATTAGAACACTTTCATCCTTCGATGCAACTTCATAGTTCATGAACAATTTTTTGTCATTACAAACATACACCGTCGCACCAGAATCATACCACTAACCTGTAGTCTTGTCAATTGTTGTCATGTTGCATTTTGTAATCATGCTGATTTTTAGTTCAGCAATCATGGCTATAATTTCAGAAGGACTTGGAGGACGTTTAACAATATTTACTTTCTTTTGTCCAGTGTTTGCCGCTGTCTTCAATTTCTTATAAAACCTTCACTCTTTCTTGAAATGGTCATTCTTGTCATAGAAAAAACATGTCTTGTTCTTCTTAAAGTTGGCAGAATTATTACTTGAAGATTCAATATACTTCCTTTTATTTTCAGAAGTATTACCAGTCTTCACTGATTTCTTCATATTAGACTCAATAGTGTTTACTTTAGAACCAAACTCTGAAGCATTTTTATTCTCACGACTGCGAGTTTTTTCTTCTATTCGGATATGCTTCATGAGTTGGTCTATGGTAAAATCTTCAGAAGTGTGCAACAATTTCTTTCAGTAATTATTCCAAGTAGTAGGCAATTTGCAATTACCGCAGCCACTTGAAGTTGTTCAAACACTTCTATTTTAAAATCCTTGAGTCTAGATACTAAGACAAGCAATTCATCTACTTATTCCATGACAGATTTATTATCAAACATTTTGAATTCAAAAAACTTTATACCAAAAAATATGTTCGTACCTTGCTTAACAGATGTATATTTCTTCTCCAGGGCACTCCAGATTTCTTGTGGGAATTTGATTGAACGAAACTAATCATATAATCGATCAAACAGTGAATTCAGAATATAGCCTTTGCAACGAACTTCATCCTCCATGCGTTTCTTGCGGGTTGCGATAGTTTCTTCATCTTCTTTGTCAGATAGTTCAGGAATAGTTGGCAGATTTTCACTTAGCAGATACACAACACCCAATTCAGTAAGCAAGAAAATAAATTTATCCTTCCAGCGTGTGAAGTTCGTTCCATCAAAACGATCCAACTTGAACACTTTGGAATTGAACTTGAAAACAGAATTTAAACCAGTAATCGAACCAGTAGCCTTCATTGTTGTCTAATTTCCTTAAGATTGTTAGCAAAATTTTACCAAATTAGAAAGCTTTGATCGTGTATTTACTGTCCTTAAGAAAATTATGACCCCACTATGTTACTGCTAGATTTATGGCAGATTCCTCTAGAATTAACAAAGTCAAACAGAATTTCAGATAACAAACTCTGAAATTCTTCCAAGAACAGAATAGAGAAACGTTTGTTTTGTATATATATAAATTGAAAGATCTGATTTATAATACTTTAGTGAGGAGACATAACTCTTAGGCCAAAGAGATGTAAAGAGGAGACACAACTCTTGAGCCAAAATACATTTAGCAATTAATTAATACAAAATTAATTAATTATTTAAAGGTTTCAAGCTCAAGATGCCCCAAGTGCCCATCTTTTAACTTTAAAGATTATTTTATTTAAAGTCTAATCAAGGTCCATTAATTTGAAATATTTGGAACTTTCCTTCAAATATTCCCACCATCCAAATTTATAAAAGTTTGTGTGTTTCTTCTTTTAAACCCTTACATTCCCTTTTTTTTTTTTTAATGTAGAATTATTTACATTACTAACTATCTCTAACAAATAGAGTATGGCAGATTGTTTTCGGAAGTGGGTTCAAGTGTAACAGTCGAGAGTTGAGAAGAGTCGAGAGTTGAGCAAAGCCTGCATAGGAGTGGAGGAGGGAAGAGAGATTTGGTGAGGAGAGCAGCCGATAAGAG